GTGTGGTGCAACCTGTGTAAATCAAGTGATGCATTAATCTCCACTTGGTAAACACTTATGTTACCACAAGAGGCTGGTGCAGCTAGCTTTCTACAATAACATCATGCTGTGTTAAATCCTCACTTTGTTTTATATTAAAGCTTCCCCAGTATTTCAATTAATAGGAGGCCAAGTAGAACAATATATTAATTATTGAGTGAACTATTCCATTTCAATACTAGTATTGTATGTAGCCATAATAGCCTACTGAGCTATGCCTGTGTATAAACTGTATATATGTACCCCTTACACTCCCTTACGCAAACACTGAAGGTAAAATGAAGGCATTTAGTAGACACTGATCCACCCTCAAACACAAACGCTTTTGTACCCTGAGGTGTGTGTGCCTTCAAATACATGATCGTATCTGCTATTGGCTATGTTAGCGAGACGTCTCTGTTCAAACACGGACACATCCTGGATAAGAAGCAACACAAAATCAACACAAGACGCAGAGGACACCCTCTACATCAACACTGACCGCACCCTCAGAGGCTCACAACAAAATGTTTCACTGAATTTGCTCGTCATTGCTAAATACCCTTGAGGTGCCCGAAAGGACAGGAGCACCTCTGAAATGTATGCATTTTCAAATTGATTTACCTTGTAGCTCAGTGCCTGTTGATGTGATTAACAATCATTCTATTGCACTGACACATGCACCATCAAATATTTGGACACAGATCAGAATTACTTACTGTACTGAGAAGTGAAATATACTTAAAATAGAATTAGATGTTGAAATGCATTTTAAGGTGCACAGGTACACTAATATACGTGAAGGTGCATGCAAATGTCAAACAGAACTAATGGTGTCCGTATGCTTGAACCTCACACCTTCCTGATACTGAAACTGAGGATGGCCATTTTTGTAGAAGCCAACATGTCATACAAACTCGTTCATTTCCAGCACAGACACCTTAAGCCCTCAAAGTTTTTCTCAGTGGTAGATGGTGGAACAAGTGTAAGGATGTGGAAATCATGTTTATTCAGAAACGTAACTGGAATATGTTTTGATTTCAAAAGCGTGACATAAAGACGACAGATCATCTCAACTATGGTTTTATTTGACAAAACAGTCTTGACTCTAGGTCTACTGACTAGCTTTTTCTGGTGCTTTCAACCTGTAGGTCCCAGACCTACACGGGCCCCAAAAATCCATGTGCATGTCAACTGGATTTGGTAATCTGATCAATCACAACTTTGTTAAGGAATTTGATATGTTAATGCTAATCTTGCAGAACAGCTTGTAAAGGGGCCCTGTTTCAAAATCAAAGTCTAGTTTTAAGACATTTTGTTATTTAGAAAGGCAACCGCAAACAAGTAATGGGAGTTACATGTGTATGCACTGAGAACTTGTAGGTGATGGTACATACACAATGTACCAATAGAGGTCCATACCAAGCTTTTTGCCCTGGTGCCACCTAACAGGTTAATCTGGCCATGCATGTGATGATGAATGAAAAAGGTAGGTAAACATTTAGTCAACATACTATTGCAAGGTCAACAGTGAGATTTTACACTCATAGTTTCATTTGTTTATGTTGCTATAACGTAGATCACAATAAGGCTGAAAATAGTAATACTTAATAATAACACCGCCTTCCATTAATATTTCACCTTTTATGTGGGTCCGCGTTGCAGTGGCAGAAGCCAATGCCAAATAGCCTAGACGTTCTTCTCCCTCTAGCCTTGATGGTATATTGATGTTTAAAAATGCCACATGTAGCACTCTCAAAGTTTTGGATTTTGGGGAACTGTGCGAAACACTCTAAGGGCCAGTGGTATGCTGACCCACTGCACTGAGGGAGAAAATGAATCAAAGAACCTTTGACTGTGTCCTGCATGCTGATTGACACCTGTGTGTGTGCCGCACTGGCCCGGTCGGATATGCATATCAATGCGTCGGCCTGTGTGGGTGAGTGTGTCTAACACACACTCCTCGCACAGAGGGCGACCCTGTTCTAGCAGACACAGCCCAGGAAGCTTTGCTGAGCCCAAGGAAGAAAGAAGCCTGTGTGTGTGTGTGTGTGTGTGTGTGTGTGTGTGTGTGTGTTTTTGGTTGCATTTTCTGCCTATTCACAAGAGCACAGAAGCACACAGACACACAAAGCCATCCACACATCTTCCTTTGTTACGCTGCAGGTGGAAATTGGGGACACTTCCACCAGAAGAATATTTTTCTATTTATCCATTTGATACATTTGTGGGTCAGCTCGAACAATGATTCAACATAGCCTTTATTACTTCCTTTACACTCCCCACCCCCAGCTCTCAGCAGCATGTCCTACCTCAGCTTCTTACTTACATACCTTTGGCACAAGATTTTTACCCTGACTTCAAAAATACAGAATTGTCCTCAATACAACATTCAGATTCACACTTCTGTGACTGTCATGTGAAAATGGACCCTGAAAGCTGTATGTTTGTACGCGTTTATGTGCATATGTGTGTTACGCAATGCTTTGTTTATTGGCAGGTGGATACCAAAAGTCCCTGCTGGGATGAGGCCAGATGTCACAGGAACTGCAGTTTACATGGACTTTGCCACTTCAGCAAAGAAAGCCTCCTATTTCTTTTTTTCACTGAGCAGCACAACACACACAGCAACCAACCAATCTCTATAATTAGTCTATACTGCAGTGAATGAACACCAGCAAGCCCCAGATGTCTTTTAGATGAATGGAAAACTGCAGTGAACAAATCTAAACATCTGATAACACCTTTAAAGCTGGGTACAGTGGGATATGACACCCACCTGGCAAACAACAGGCTATATTTACCATGCTATAAAAGATATGGTCAAACCTCAAGTCACCTTTAAGACAAAAGATAGAGAAATTATGGCAATCATACACCACATGTGACAAAATACTACAAACGAAATTAAGGTCACTGTGTGCTGGGTCTAGTAAGGCTACCACAGGCTATCACTTCCCTGTGGGGAGTTCCAGAAATATCCCAGTGATTTATTTTTCTCAAAATAAGGATGGCCATATTCTTAGTTTGACATTCTGGACACAGAATGTTTAAGTGGAAATCTGTAATTTCCAGTAAAAGCACCTTCTCTGAATGGTACATTTGTTTCTGAGAAAAGGGGCTAATAACTGAATAAAAAAATCCCTAATAAGCATATTTCCTGGATTCACCACCGCCATACATTCAAGACACACTGTTATGCACTGACACTGTACTATTGAGAATATGGCAATCTGTAGACGACAGCCCTTATTTTGGTCATTTTAAAGAGTCCACGTTAAATGTAAGTAAAGCAATTTTTAACATTGTATTTGAACATATTTAGAAATAAGCATAACGTCTGAATCCCATTTTTCAACCATATGGAGTGTTTTGAATCAAAAACGCAGACAAAAGGCTATCAGTCAGGGTTTGGTGATAGGGTATTAGAAGTGCACATCCTTGTAGGTTAGACAAAAAATCTGCAGATTACAGTACTAATACGGTGCATGCCTCGCCTTTTAAATTTAACGAAGCAGGACACCCCCACTTACCTTCCGAGAAAAAGATAAAAACCAAAAAACACAAGGTCAACAGCGACAGTGCCCGTCAATTGTTACATTTAGTTCTGTCTTGTTAAGCATAAAAATGCTTTGTGGTCGTTTACCTGTTGCGGTAGATTAGCGGCGTTGATCAGACACCCAGTCAGGCGAATTTGGCTACTGAAGAGGGAGGAACCGCTCCTGCAGCCGGGGCAGGCGTGGACTGGAAACGGGCGTCTCCAGAGTCAAGTCAGACGAAATCACACACAGGACTTCCGGGGATATTTTCAAACTTAAACATACCGACGCTCATAATGGGGCACGTGGGGCATGGGATAGGGCACAAAACCCATTGAAACTGAACTAAGATAGTACTTCCAACATTTCCTACTGAAATTATTTGTCTTTATCGATGGGCTTGATATTGAAGCGTCAATCCTAAATTGCCAAACACTCACAAACCATGACTTAATAAAACACCCTTGTTTCAGTTAATCACTCATCCTGTACAGTCCAACATGTTCCAGTGTTCTTTGTTTATATCTGAAAGGCAATTTAAACAAACTTTAGTAATTTCTCCTTTATTTGTGGATAGCTGAAAGGATAAGTAATGTGTGTTTTTTATCCATTCATCATTTTGTTCTTTTCGTATGGTAACTGCCTAATCATCTCTCCTTAATTATAATTAATGTAATCATGTTTATCTTGCCATGAGTATTTTAGGAGATTTCTTTGTATAGTATACAATCTCAACCTCCTACCTCCCCTGCACAGGCTTTAAAAAAATAATGTTTATATTGTATTACACAGAGGACATAAGACACAAAACAGAATTAAAATGTAATTGTTCATTTCCATCTATTATATGAACATTTGCCAGATTCATTCAGTTTCTGCACACTAGGCAAAATGTAGTGCATTGTCTGACCGACTATCCTGTCAAATAGAAAAGTTGCATTTGGTCAGAAGGCTTGATTGGATCAAAAGAAAAACTTTCCATATATTGTGTCCACTTCATTTACCTAATTTAACTTAACTGCAGACTTTTATTTTGAAGGCACAACCACTTGACCTTTGGTCTCTTGCTGTTGGATGATGTTTTGACAGTAAACAGATCAAAGCCAAATTATATATTTTTTAATCAAAGCCTACAGTTGGGTATAATCATATAAATATGTTGAACAAAGTTTGCATAATTTCCCCTTTCCCTATCTGGCCTATGTGATGAGTGAATTCCTCTGAGATGCAGTTATCTGCTGTTAATTGCATCTCTATGGTTGAAGCTCTGTAGAGTGTGAAAGGTCTTTGCTGCCCCCATAGGAAACGAGAAGAAAGCTGCTGGTGTGGAGCTCCCCCAACAGCCCACTTTCATTATTACATCTACAACTTAACTAACATAACCTGAACCTACCAACTGATCGTGATACTTGTATGGCACTTGAAGCAGTGATGAGCCAATACAAAAGGTCAGTTAGATTTATTGGCACCACACCAGGCAAATAATCAAGTAAGCAAGTATATCATATAAGGTAACAGTTAGTATTTGAGCAGAACACACAGAAGTTTTGATTTCAAAACTTAATTTGACACAAACTCATCTTTACCTATTTACATCAAAGGTTATTTTCATTGTAATTAGGTGGTTTTTAAAGAAAACATTAAAATAACAAAAAACAACTAAGAAACTAGAATGTCTTCGATGACTATAATACAATAATCTACTATCCACACAAAAGTACAGTTCCCAAAAAAACAAAACATGAAAATGACTGTTGAAAAGCTGACCACATAAGAAAAGGAAACACATAAAAAAAGCTTGAAAGAATCATATCAACAGCACTTTGCATTGAAACATTTTAGTCACATCTGTCCATCTGTTTGGGCTTCGAACACACAGCTCCATATCTTGAGTAACAGTTTAATGGTGAGCTTTTTAAAGTATACATTCCTGCAGTGGTGAAATATGTCATAAACTTTATTCTCTCCCAAAAGAAAATAATAATGAAGGCAGCTAATAGCATCTGCTGCCTGCCTCTGGTGTAAACTACACTTAAGATCATTAAGGTTTTCATTCCGGTTTGATGTCCACTTCACTTTCTGTGTATGACAACTCAACATCATGGTGTAGGTCATCTGGCATATGTTCTTGGTCTTCATTGCTCTGACCTATGGTTACCAATAAGTATTCTTGGGATGCTGCTGCTTCAACGGGGACTAAATATTTAACACCCTCAAATTCGGTTTTTATGTCACTGTTTGGACATACAGCTAGCATAGGATGTCCTTCAGATCCTTGTGGTTCAGCCAGGTTGTAATACTTGACACCGTCATTTACTGCTTCTGTTTTTATGTCGCTTACAGTGTTCGGACACATGGTTAAAAAAGCATATGGAAGAGATCCTGTAGGTTCACCGGGGACTAAATACTCGACGTCCTCAGTGTTTAACTCTGTTATGAAATCATCATAATGTAGATTGTATATTTCCTCAGTGTCCAGTTCTGGTTGCATATCGCCATAATGTGGATTGTACTCCTCTTTAACGTGTATGCTTCCCTTAAGAGGAAAACCATAACCTACTAGATTCCCATGCATCTGCATCATCATGCCAGGATCTGTTGTTCCCTTGGTCGGTTGGTCTGTCTCTTCGCGGGAATATTCTTTCTGTGTTTTATTTTGTCTCTTCTCAACAAACCTTTGTGAAGACTTGGGAGCAAACACAAATGGCAATTTGAAGAGCTCGTCTGCTCTGTCTCGTGTTTTACGATATTGCTTGACCATGTTTTGAACTTTGGATGCAGTCGCTATGGAAAATTCCCAGCACCTGTAATGTTGTGAGCTCAGATCGAAGTTATAGTCAAGGATGTCATAAATAGTGCGTGGCAGATAGTGTCCTACTTTCTGAGTTGCAAATTTATATATCTCCATCATTACAGCTCTGGTCAATAGGTTCAAGTCCAGTTTGTCTTTCTCTGCTGATGTTGATGTCACATCTAGATCCAAACCAATCTCCATGCAAATGGGATAGCAGTTGCCTTTACTTAGAGTTCTCTTTGGTTTTACGTCACTTATTTTATGAATTGGCAGCGTGGCTTTTTCCTCTTTTGTTTGCAGTGCCAACTTTCTTTGTTTGATCGTTTCCATCATTTCACTTTTCTGCATGGCAGCTGTTTCATTCGCTTTACACACATGTCCAGGTTGTCTGTGAGACACAGGTTGAATAACAAAAACTTCATCAAACCAGGCGAGTCCACCATCCTTTCGTGCCTTTGCTCTGTGGAACAGCCGTGCAGGGTCTACGTCCTTGCTCTGAATGCCAATGTGGAAGTTGTGTTCAACGACTGCATTAACAACCTTGCTTTTTGTTCCACACAATTGTTTGGCAAACCGAACCACTTCATTCATCATCCCACGTGTCAATACATGCGTGTCAAGTTTATCTTTTGGTTGGTCTTTGTCCACGCAAAGGTTCAAACCTATTTCCTTGCAGCGAGGGTAACCGGCCATTATCGTCTCCTCTATTGTTGAGAATGTAGAGGACGGATCCTTTGCAGGGTTTTGTGCTGTGCAGTTTGCATCAGCAGAGACTGTGTCAGTCATGGTATGTGGACGAAGATCATGTGTGTGACTGGGATCAGATTCATCCTCACGAAGGTCAAGATTTCTGTCTTGAAAGCATTTGGGGCAAAATGTAGTTTTGTCATAAGTAGGTTCCTGTATGCACCTCGTGTCAGGGAGTTCAAAAAGCCTTTTCTGTCGAGGTATGCTGAATCTTTTCTGTGCATTCACTGATCTAATTTTATCCAAGGTTTGCTGTGCAAAGGCATTGCGATCCAACTCATTTGTCAAATTAAGATTAAAATTATACTCCAGTATCTCTGTGATAAAATACTTTGTGGCTGATTGCAGTGCTGTGGCAAAAGCGTTAATTTCAACCATGATGCCATTGGTCAGTAATTTGGGATCAAGATTTTGTTTGACTCCAGACCCTACATTGAAATCAATGCCTGCTTTCTTGCTTCTGGAGTACGAATATAGCGGGCAATGTTCTTCATGTACTGAAAGAATTTGCAGAATACGATTGGCCCGCAGTTTCCACATCTTTAAACTGAGCTCATGTTCGTGTTCAGTGTCAGAAGAACTGCCCACATTTTGGTCAATGATTGCAGCCTGGGAGGAGACAGCCCCACATGCATCTACATTTGGGTTGCTAGGGCAATCAAGTATGGCCATTGTTGAGGGTTGTTTTCTTGTGCCCTTTATTTTCTTGTAGGATTTTACACAGGCTGATAAATTCCTTTGCTCCATTACAGTAGGGATTTGTGTGAGAATATTTCTGGCAAGTTCAGAATCTCCACTTTGCAAATCAGGATCCAAGTTGTGTCTGAGGACGTCCAAACAAATCTCCTCAAATGTCCCACACAACTTTTCTGTAAAGTTTGTCACTTCAGTCATTGCTCCATTGGTCAGTTTGTTGATCACCAGTTTTTTGTTTGGTCGACTGTTTACATGTAGCTTCAGACCTATTTCCTTGCAGAAGGGATAAAGATCCACACTCTTCTGTGAATGAGCTTTAGTTTCAGAATGCGAATCAGGACAACACACAGGAGCAACATCACATTCCTCCATTTCTGATGTGCCGCTGAGTTCATGTTTGACATTGCCCACGCTCGGAATTGCCACATTTATTGTTGGCATGTGACCATGAAGTTCAAAAACCTCATTTGAGAATTTGACTGCATCTTCACAACTTCTCAGCTGTCTTACTCGTTTCATCAATTCACATGTGAAGATATTCCTCTGGTGTTGACTCTGCAGGCCGAAGTCAAAGTTGTACTCCAGAATCTCCATGATGAAGTCCTGCTGAGACGCATTAACTGCTAAGGCAAATTTAGCAAGTTCAAGCAGAACAGGATAAGTCAAAGAGTCCACACTGATGTTTTGCTTTGGGCCAAATCCAACATTGAATTCAATGCCAACTTTCTTGGACCTGTAAAATGGACCGAACTGTCTGTTGAATCCAGAGAGGATTTGTTTAACACGGTTTGCACGTAACTTCCACATGTTCTCTGTTCCCAGTTCCTCTTGTTCCATGTCACAGTCGTTTGGTGCATTTCTTGGAGTCTCTGTTTGCTCTTCACCTCCAGATACCCCTCTTTCGTCAGACTGACTTACAAATGGTGGGTTCACATTTGGGTTGACAGCTGGTAAAGTGGATGAGACGTCAGTGGTGGTGGGGGGAAGTGCACAAAAACTCAGACAACTTGGTGCTGATTCTCTAGGGATGTCAGAGCTCAGAGAAAAACCTTTTGGGTTTTGTAAATGATCCTGACTGCCAGCGTTTTCCGAATCTGAGAGTTTGTCTGAGTCTAGATCAGATTCTCCCAAAGGACAAGTGTAGCTGTTCTCTGATCCCATTTCCTCTTGTTCTATGTCACATACTTTTGGTGCATTTCTTGTCAGTATTTGCTCTTCAGATGCACAATGCCCAATCTTTTCTACAAATTTCCGTGAAGCCCTGTGACTGAACACAAATGGTAATTTGAAGACTTCATCTGCTCTGTCTACTTTTCTGCAATAACTCCTTACCATGTTACTGACTTTGGATGCAGTAGCTATGGAAAATTCCCAGCGCCTGTAATATTGTGAGCTAAGATCGAAGTTATAGTCAAGGATGTCAAACACAGTGTGTGGGAAAGAGTGTCCCAGTTTCTTAATTGCAAATTTGTGTATCTCCATCATTACAGCTCTGGTCAAAAGCTTCAAGTCCAGCTTGTTTTTCTCTGTTAACTTTGATGTCACGTCTAGATCCAAACCTATCTCCGTGCAAATAGGATAATGGTTTTCTCTACGCCGATGATTAGTCTTTGTTTTTACATTCCTCATGTTATGCATTTGCAGCGTGACTCTTTCCTCCTTAGTCTGCAGTGCCAGCTTTCTTTTTTTAATAGTTTCCTTCATTTCACTTCTCTGTGTGGCAGCTGCCCTTTTCAGTTTATGTACTAGTCCAGGTTGTTTGTGAAAAACTGGTGGAATAACAAAAACGTCACTGAACCAGGCATCATTTAGTGGCATCGCTCTGCTAAATAGCTGTGACAGAGTTATGTTTCGGCTCTTCATGCTAATGTTGAAGTTGTGTTCAAGGACATCATTAAGAATTTTATTTTTTGTTCCACTTAATGTTTTGGCAAAATGAACCACTTCATTCACAATTGCATTTGTCAATACATGTGGGTCAAGTTTATCTTTTGGTTGGTCTTTGTCCACACACACATTCAAGCCAATTTTCTTGCAGAGAGCATAACTGTCCATAATCATCTCCTTGATTGTTGAGAAGGATGACGATCGATCTTTTGCAGGCTTTTGTGCTGAGCAGTTTGCATCAGCGGAGACTGTGTCAGTCATGGTATGTAGACAAGGATGATGCATGTGACCGGGGTCAGATTCATCCTCACGAACCTTGTGATTTCTGTCTTGATAGCATTTGGGGCATAATGTAGTTGTGTCACAAGTAAGGTCTTGTATGCACCTTGTGTCCGGGAGTTCAAATGGTCTTTGCATTCGAGAAACACTGTTTCTTTTATGTGCATTCACTGCTCTAATTTTAGTCATCGTTTTCTCTGTAAAAGCACTGCGATCCAACTCATTGTTCAAATTAAGATCAAAATTATATTCCAGTATCTCTGTGATAAAATACTTTGTGGCTGATTGCAGTGCTGTGGCAAAAGCGTTAATTTCAACCATGACACCATTGGTCAGTAATTTGGGATCAAGATTTTGTTTGACTCCAGACCCTACATTGAAATCTATGCCTGCTTTCTTGCATCTGCCGTATGAATAAAGTGGGCAATGTTCTTCATGAGGTATTGAGAGGATTTGCTGGATGTGACTGGCCCGCAGTCTCCATATTGTTAAATTGAACTCATTTTGCTGTTCAGTGTCAGGAGAACTGCCAACATTTTGGTCAATGATTGCAGCCTGGGAAGAGACAGCACCACATGCATCTACATTTGTGTCGTTCTGGCTATCCAGTTTTGCCACTGTTGTGAATGTTTTTCTTGTGCCCTTTATATTCTTGTAGGGTTTAACACAGGTTGTTAAATTCCTTTGCTCCATTAAAGTAGGGATTCGTGCAAGAATATTTCTGGCAAGTTCAGAATCTCCACTTTGCAAATCAAGATCCAAGTTGTGTCTGAGGATGTCCAGACAAATCTCCTCAAATGTCCCACACAACTTTTCTGTAAAGTGTGTTACTTCAGTCATTGCTCCATTGGTCAGTTTGTTGATATCCAGTTTTTTGTTTGGTCGACTGTTTACATGTAGCTTCAGACCTATTTCCTTGCAGAAGGGATAAAGATCCGCACTCTTTTGTGAATGAGCTTTAGTTTCAGAATGTGAATCAGGACAACACACAGGAGCAACATTACGGTCCTCCATTTTCGATACGCTGATGGGTTCATGGTTGACATTGCCCACACTTCGAATTTCCACACTTACTGATGACATGGGACCAGAAAGTTCAAAAATGTCATTAGAAAACTTGACTGCATCTTCACAACTTCTCAGCTGTCTTACTCGTTTCATCAATTCACATGTGAAGATATTCCTCTGGTGTTGACTCTGCAGGCCAAAGTCAAAGTTGTACTCCAGAATCTCCATGATGAAGTCCTGCTGAGATGCATTAACTGCTAAGGCAAATTTAACAAGTTCAAGCAGAACCGAATTAGTCAAAGAGTCCACACTGATGTTTTGCTTTGGGCCAAATCCAACATCGAATTCAATGCCAACTTTCTTGGACTTGTTAAATGGACCGAACTGTCTGTTGAATCCAGAGAGGATTTGTTTAACACGGTTTGCACGCAACTTCCACACGTTCTCTGTTTCCAGTTCCTCTTGTTCCATGTCACAGTCGTTTGGTGCATTTCTTGGAGTCTCTGTTTGCTCTTCACCTCCAGAACGCACTCTTTTCTCAGACTGACTTACAAATGGTGGGTTCACATTTGGGTTTACAGTAGGTAAAGTGGATGAGACGTCAATGGTGGTGACGAAATGTGTATGAATACCCAGACAACTTGATTCTGATTCTCTAGGGATGTCAGAGCTCAGAGAACCGTTTTGGTTTTCTAAGTGATCCTGTTTGGCAGCATCTGAATCTGTGACTTCGTCTAAGTGCACATCAGACTCTCCTACAGGAAAAGTAGAGCTATGGCCATGCTCTGCTGCTCCACTGGTAAACAAATCAGTGGGATGTGTGTTTGTCTCCAGGTTTGTAGACTCTTGTTCACTTCTTAAAAGTGCCCCCTTTTCCTGTGTTGTCACTTCCTTAACTTTATATTGTGGGGATCCCATATTGGACAAAGCAGATCCTCTGGGTCTTTTGAAGGGTTTTGTCTGGAAGGAAAATAGCTCATTTTTAAACTCTGGGGTTATTTTTCCTCCAGTGGTGATAAGTCGCTTTCTCTTTTTGAGCAGGTCTGATATCTTGAACCAAATTTGATTTTTTACCCTTTGACTTTTGAGATTAAGATCAAAATTATGCTCCAACACACTGAGAACAATAGGTTTGTAGGATGCAGTCAGTACTCTAGTGAAGTGTACAAGTTCTAACATCACTCCCTTTGTCAACAATCCTGGATCTAGACTCTGCTTTGAACCTCCTTCAAGTTTCAGACCAATTTTTTCACAACAAGGGAACAAAGGGGGAAGATCCTCATCTTTCAGTTCTTCTTCTGACTGTGTGAATCCTGAACACTTTAATTCATTCTCTTGTTCATTCCCATCACCATGTGCTTCATCCATGTCTTCTGAGAGACAGTCTGTCTTTCCGTATTCTTTGGTGCTACATCGTGTACACTTGAATTCATCTTCAGGTTCACTATCATCAGTACCCTCCATTTCCAATAGGAAACTTTCAGCCTTACGCTCTGTTGATGCCATGTTCAGTCCATTGTTGCTGCTGAATTCTGGCTCAGATGACGTTTCAAAGAGAGTAAAAACTTCATGTCTATCTTTAGGAGGGTTCCTGATCAGGTCTTTGACTTTGTGCAGGATTCGAGCAGTAAAATCCGCCCTCTGTTGCTCATTTTCCAATCCAAGATCAAAACTGTTCTCCAGAATGCTTGTAATAAAATGCCTTTCACTCTTGTTTACTGTTTTAGCAAAGTCACAGACCTCAAGTATGACACCATTTGTCATTAATTGTAAATCCATTTTTTTCTGCGTGTTGGATGCTACATTAAAATCCAGTCCTATTTTCTTACTGTAATGGAATGGTTCTGGACGTCTTGAATATTTCTTTACATGCATAATGCGCCACTGCCATACTGTGTTGGCATCCATCGTCTTTTTCTCCTTCAGACTACCCGACGTGTTACTGTAGTCCATCTTCAGTGATATTCTTCAGTGTCTTCCTTTCCTGTTTAGTTCAGGAGACAAACATGATACATTATACACACACACTGTATCTCAGTCTTGAGTCATACACAATTTAAATGTGTTTGTGTAATATCAATCAGGGAGATAATATTTATCAAAGTAAAATACTAAACACGTTACACTCCTCACTCAAATGTGAGGACTTGCCGGGCTGTCTATTTCCCGTCGTTAATTAATTACCTTAGGGTTTTTGGACGGTTGATTTAAAAACATAAGTCATCACTTAGGGTCTATCTGGATACTTGTGATGGACATTTGGCAATATGTTGGGACATTTTATTGACTGTGATTGGTCACTAAACACTACAATCTGTGTAAAATGCATAAGCTAAGTTGCAATAAAATGATGAGCATTTCTTGGTATAATGAGATGTAGTGATTCCCCAAGCAGCAATTTTCAGGGGCTGACGTGTTTGGATTTGTCTTAGTACTACTGGATACTTAATCAACTTAATAATAAGGTTAACCAAACTGAAGTTAACCTTGTTAACAGAGAGAAGACCCTGCCCCCAGGGAGCGGCATGAAAAAACAAAACAAAACAAAAACACAAGCATGATATAAGAACAGTTTCTTTTTAGTGGCCATCACTCCAATCAGTCACATAGTGTCAGGAAAAACCTGAATCTCAATCTCCAATCTCAACACTTTGTTGAAAATATTCAACTCACACGAATTCCTTTGAGTCGCTTCGCGCCGCCCGACTTTGTATGTAAACTCACCACCCCGAACACTCGCTTCGCTTTTGGTCTGAAAGCACCATCAGTTTTCAGCCAAATAAACTTTTTCTTCAGTTGTCTGTGACGGCCCCACAGAGGTTACATTGCTGAGTTTCCCTAGCAGCCAGTCAGAACTGAAGAAGTCTCTCAGATGAGGGACGAAACATCTTTAAGTATCTTCAACAAGTCCAGTTGCCCTTGATTTTAACCTTCCTTGGGTTTTTTCTGTTCATTCACTTTGTATTTTGTTGATTGATAAACATAACATATTAACATGTCTATTTTTGAAAGCATTCTTACTTTAAAGTATTTTCCCACATCTGCCTAAAACTTTTGCACAGTAATGTATATACAAGGGGTGCAATAAATAATTGCTCGTTTATTACATTTTCTCTTGATCAATGACTTGTTAATGCCGTTGACAGAAGCAAATAATTATCCCCAACGATCTTGTTTTAGAGATCACCAGACAATTTCATACTTTCTCAATGGCAAACAATTCTCCTTTCTATGTGTGTCCAATGTGGGTTGCATTCAAATGAATTTGAACTATTTATGGGATTTATTTGTTTATTTTCATTTAAACTTTACCTTTGGGGAAAAGTGAGAGCCCACATCATCATTTCATGAAACTGCATATTAAAATGCGATCTGTATCCGGATACGTTACCTGGATATTAACGATAAGATCTTGCCTTTTAGTATACACCTGGTATTTTTAATGTGTTCCTGTTCCTGAGTCTGAGTATTATAAAGTGTCAGCTAATTCGCCCAAGACTCACTTAAGAATAAAAATCACATAGTTTTGTGAGTTGTTGAGCTAGGGGAAACTTTGTGAAAAACTCTCTACAGCAAATTCATAATTTTTTGTCTCCTCTTGTAAATTCGGTCAACACATCAAGTTTACACATTATTCCTTTCTTTTTAAAAAAACACAACGTGTCAGTTTGTCCCAGTGAGTTGCAGTACCGTCATATAAGCTAGGTAAATGATATGCCTTGTTAAGAGCAGATCAGCTGCACAGATGAGTGCAAAACACACTGTTGCACACAGTAATTTCTTACTGTATACACGTGTTTGGTCCATGACAGGACTTCATTTCAGCTGAACTTATGTCTCATGTCTTAAAAAAAACAAAAACAAAAAACACTATGCACCCAATAAATCAATGCACTTAGTGTTAACTGCTTTAGACAAAAGCTTCTGCCAAATGAAATGGAATGTAAAGTTAATTGTACCCCGTGGAATTTTGTGTAAAAATTTAAAGATCAGATTCAGTGTGTGCCTGGCAGCCTCTTCTCTGAACTTATCACAACCCCGCCACAAAACCATGTCAGAGGGGGCCGACACTGACAATGAGACTGGAAAGGAATGTTTTCTTGCAGACCAGCAAATTATTTCAGCTTGCTTCATACCTCGTAGAACATGTTTCAGCTTTGCTAAGAGTTCCTTCAGCATGTTTGGCCCACACTCTGTTTCTGCATCCTAGTTGGGCATCCTCCAGTCGGCGATGGGAGGGTGTTGATACAGTAGAGCCCTGAATGAAACAAGTTGCAATGTTCGTTAACTCCTGCATGCATTATTCGCACAGCACTGAAAAGGAGAGTTTAATCATGAAATTTAAAATAACTTAAATATGAAATATTCAGCCAACTGCCAAACACGAACAAAACATTACCGTCCTTTGATACCTAACTTAACCACCCTGTGAACCAACCTTCTGCTCTTGCTGCATTCAGTACACGGACAACTTTGTGTTTTTTTTGTCTTTTTACCAATCTAACTATGGTCATTGTTACATTCTCCTTTTATCTCTCCAGCACTGGAATAGCGGCAAGTAGTCCAATGACAGGTCTAGTGGCAGGAATACCCAATAAAGGCTTTGCGTGCACTAATAGTTGTGTAGCTAATTGTTAACATGTGTTGGAGATAAAAAGCCTGTCTGGGTAGGTCTGGGCCAGATGATAAGTCAGGACTTCCCCACTAACACTTAACCATCAACAAAAAAATGACAGCTATTGGAGTCTCATAGATTTACTGGAGATGATCAGTGTTCAATGCAATAGAGTTTATTTATGTATTATTTTAAATTGATCTTTTTGCTCTTTTTATAGCCCACATTATTATTATCATCATAATCATCAAAAACCAGTTACAAAGTGCTTTAACAAGTGTAAAAACAATAAAACACATAAAAACAATTACATGCTAAAAACAAGAAAACACTTAAGAATATAATACACGTTTAAAATAAATGTAAAATATATTAAAAAAATAGAATCAAATAAAATCGGGAAACGCTCTCCTATAAAAGTATGTTTTAAGAAGGGACTTAAGAGTTCACTGACTGAGCCGACCTGATTTCCTCGGGCAGGCTGTTCCAGAGCCTCGGGGCCCTGACAGCAAACGCTCTGTCCCCTTTAGTTTTCAGTCGAGACTCTGGAACAGACAACAGACCTCTGCCCGAGGATCTCGAGGTACGTGCTGGTGTGTATGGGACTAAAAGTTCAGAAATATAACAAGGCGAGAGGCCATGAAGAGCTTTAAAAGTGATCAATAAAATTTTAAAGTCAATTCTAAAACACACTGGGAGCCAGTGTAATGAAGCTAAAATAGGAGCAATGTGGTCATATTTTTTTGTTCTGGTTAAAAGCCTGGCAGCCGAGTTCTGGACAGTCTGGAGTCGATCAGTAGATTTCTTCCCATGATCAGGTGACCAGTCATGTGGCCTGGCACGTAACTCCACAGGATCGTATTGCCATGTAGATCACCGGGCCTTTTTCCTCATGGCACCATTATAAAACAGATGTCCACAATGTGTACTAGGGAGACTTCTAAATCACACTTTCAGCTAAGGCTGATTTTATCTATGACAACAGGTTGTCTAATAAAAATCTAATTTTAAATTAATTGATATATAAAAACTCTTACATATGTTCGTAATACAGTGTTCACACAGTACATTTAAAGTCTACTACAACTTTTCTCCCTCAACATGTCAGCCTGTAACTTAATGTTAAAAAAAAACACACACTTTCTGGGCAGCAACGAAGCAGGTAAAATATATTGTAAATAGGTTCCACTGCTACTTCACAAGTCAAAAGGTAGCACTTTTGTATTTACTTAGTATATGGACACATCAACCATTGAAACACACTTTCAACTTTGTAAAACCTTTTATTGTGTTTATTAAACCTCTATTCTGTTTGTACAAAAAAGGGCTAACCATTTATGCATCGCAGGAATTACATGAATTGTGTTAGTTTGGTTTGAGAAAAACATGGTTTCAGGTCAAGTTGGTCCTGCATGGTATAAGTTGGATGCCATAGACTACAAACAGTTTCAGATTGGGGAAACCTGTATTGCACTGTGAAAATGCCAATAATAACGACGTTACTGAACAGTATTTATAACAGGGCTTTGATGTTCACTTTAGAAGTCTACGTATCTCCATTTCATTTGTGATTGACGTGCAGAGTTCATCTTTGTAAATTAAAAAACAAAATCCCCCACCCAAAAATCAAAACATCTTCATAGATTGGTGTTTTTATTCTCTCAAAAAAATACTGTTGTTCTCTCACCTTTCCTCTAACTGGCCCTGGTCATCCTCTCTCACTACTCACTATACTGTACAGTACCTGCGCACAGTAGCCCAGTTATTTGCCACATTGTGTATATAGTCTCACACTCACTACTGCCAGAAAGTAATTTAACTGCTACAACTTGGGGTTGTATTCCTAATACAACTACTGCTATTAATATTGCTTCAAGTAAAGATGGAGCACTTTAACTGGGCCTACTACTAAAACCTCCATATGTTTATCTCAATTTCCGTCCTTGTTACTGTCTTACCGTTTGTAAATTTCTATCAGTCTTACTTTCCTTACTTTTTTCTCTGTTCTTTTCCTTACTTATTCTATTTCAGTCAGTCATAGTCAAATGCATAGCATCCACCATGTCTCCATTGCTCTGACAGGTATGGAGTAATTGGAACTGCGAAGAAGGGGGCCATTCGCACCATAACTGAAGCTGTGACTTTGAATAAAGAGGGCAAGCCCGTGGATTGGTGCTACTGGGATGCAAGCCACCCCCGGCTAGGTCACCTGGGAGAGGGGGGGTCTGATGATGAAAAGACCCGAAACCCCCGATGACCCCAGGCAAATCACTGATGATGGGCCCCAGTGCAACTTCGTTCCTAATCCCTTTTTGGTTCACTCTTAATATCCTTCCATCGAAAACACACCAACAATGAGGATTTAGGGCATCATATGTGTTTGCAATGTATGCCATGTACCATGCAGGACCAACTTGAGCCGAAACCATGTTTTTGTCAAACCAAACTAACACAATTAATGTAATTCCTGCGACTCGTTAGCCCTTTTTTTGCGTTTCTTGCTAACAGAATAGAGCTTTCACAAATACTAGGTTTAACAAAGTTGAATATGGGTTTTACACTGCGTTAATGCTTTACCTGAAATTCCTAATAGTTTTCACTACAGTAATACGTGCAAAGTGTGAAGGATCCCCCCACCAGTTTCCCTTAACTGCAGAATCAGCTTACTTTAGCGTCGTATACAATGTACCTAATGTAGGCTGAAATTTCACCGGGGCGTTCTTCTGACCCGTTAACCCCACGGACGGTGTTAACTTACATCAAGGTTCAAAATATCTCAACTCTTGAAGAAACGATGCTTATCTTTCGCCATCTTCCTTTTAACTTTTCAACGTTACAATCACCTTCTATCTCTCACGCAATACAATGGCGTAAAATCACGTTAGTGCAGTGGTTGGTCGAGTAGCGGGAAAAACCAATAAAAGGCTTTGCATGCAGTGTAATAGTTGTGTAACGGTTAAGTTAGCTAGCTTAACGTTTACTTTGTTGTCCCTCAACACGTCAACCTGTAGCTTAACGTTAAAAAACACACACTTTGTGTAACTTACAGCGACGAAGCAGGTAAAACACAAGTAACGTTAGGTTCAACTGCGACTTCACGACTCAAAGGTAACGTTATTACTATATGGACACATATCAACCACACTTTTGGTAGCTTAGGCAGTTTAGCACACACAACAGGGAGGGGAAAGACAGACAGGATTTGTTTTGAGAAAAGTAACGTTAACGCTACAATACCATCCATGTTTATAGAAATAGGACGAAACACGCTGGAGTACACGTACCTTATTTAGGCTGAACAGTCACTGAGGCGTTCTTACTTGTTGAGTCCACACACGGTTTCACACCATAGACCATATATAAAAAGTTTCACACACAACGCCTTTTCATGTTAACCAAGGCTGATATCGGGTGCTGGAGGAAACGATGGTGAGTTTTTACAGGAAGTGATGATGAAAGGTCAGAGTGCGGGGATTTTAATTAAATACCACGAACTGTAGCTGCAGTACCGTAGTTCTTTTGCGACAGCGCCATCTACCAATTCTCGGCAGGCATGCAAAAGTCGGCATAACACCGGTCCTTGGATTGCGGTCCTGAAACTGCCGCTACACTGCTCATTGTAGAAGTGATAGTTTTGTTTTCCACTACCAGTTTTTCGCTTGTAGCCCTTTATTTCAGGTTTCCATGGTGGAAAGGCAAGGCATGTTTATTTGCATATTAGCACATTTTAACAGTAACGTTATTCAAAGTACTTACTTCCAACATAAACATAGGGAAATAAAAAATACATTTAAAGACAATTTAAAAAAAAGTTAAATACAAAATAAAAACAAGATGAAACAGGACTGTGAATGTTACAGTGCAGTGTAAGATATCCATCAAAAGCCTCAAATTTGGTTATAATAATTTTATAATAATAAAAAGCAAGGGCAAATAGAAAAGTATGCAGCCATGATTTAAAAGAACTGAGAGTTCAGCAGGCCTGCAGTTATGTTGGAGTTTGTTTTGGAAATTTGGTCCATAAAAATGGAACGCTGCTTCTTTTTTAGTTTTTTTTAGTTTTGACTCTGGGGACAGATAGCAGACCTGTCCCAGATGATCTGAGATGTCTGGATGGTTTATAACATAGCAGAAGATCAGAAATCTATTTTGGCACTTAACCATTCAGTACTTTATAAACCAATAGTAATATTTTAAAATCAATTATTTGAAAGATAGGAAGCCAGTATAAAGGCGTCAGAACTGGAGAGACGTGATCCAGTTTTTTGGTCTTATTGGAGACTCGAGCAGCAGCATTCTGAATCAGCTGCAGCTGTCTGATCAATTTTTTAGGGAAACCTGTAAGACACCTTGGTTCTGAAAACACTTACTTCAGTTTTATCTTACTCTGCTTTAATTAAAGAATATTCTGGCACATCAAATCGTTAATTTATTCAATGCACTTGCTCAGGGTTTGCATGGGATTATTGTCCAATGGTGATGTGGTTATGGAAATGTGTGTGTTGAAAGAATGGAGCCTTGGGGACTCGACAGGTTACCTATAGACACAAAGAAGTCCCTGTCCTTTAAGTAGGATTCAAATCAGTTTAGACTGTGTGGAATTCACCATTGAGATTAGATAATACTAAGACTATGGTCTTATGGTTTAAATGGATGTCACTGAAGACCTTCACAAGAACAGGCTCAGTGCTGTGGTGTGGTCAAAACCATGACTGAAAGACATCAAACCAGTTGTGTTCAGTGCCAAGATGTTTTTCAACTGTTGAAAAACAGCCTTTTAAATAATTTAACTTAAAAATAGGAAATGTTTGATATGGGCCTTTAATTGCTTGATGACTTCAGTTTTCATGCCCTGTGGGAAGACATGTGAGAGAATAGACATGTTGAGAATCTGTAGAAGATCTGAGTCCATGTAGTTAGAAACATTTTTGAAAAAGCCTGTTGTTAGATTATCAAGACAGATACTAATACAGATACTATTTGAATTGATTTTAACACAGGGACAACATATCCTGTACCTGAAATGGAAGCACTGACTGCCTGTCTAATTTTGTCAGTGAAGGCGCAATTCATTGCAGGCCCTGGTAGATAGAAGTTCAGAGGCTACTGACAGAGGAGTGTTGCTTTGCCTGTCAACAGTAGCAAACAAGGCATGTGTAATATTATTATTTTTTGGTGATGATGTCATAATGAACTTGGAGAGTTGTTTTTCGCTACCTGCATCCAGCTTTTCAACACTCTTTTTTTTTCAGTTCCTACCAGTGTAGCAATTCTCCATGGGACCAGAGACCTTCACCTTAGTGGTGCAATGACATCAATAACAATTGTAACAATTTGTAATTTTAAAACTGAAATGATCCTGAAGCTCATTGACTAACACCCAAGAGAGGATAGGTGTGGAAAAGAAAGTCTGAATAAATATCTTACTTTCACATTTCAGTGATATATCGAGAAGATTGGCCCTTGGCTCAGGCCCTATCTGTTTAGCAACACCTGAAGTTACTCAACGTCCTTCAGGATCCATTATTCATTTATGTTACAACCTATTTATAATTTTGACATCATTGTCTGTACTGTACATGTATTATGTTGGTCACTTCAGTAGACATCTATTGCATGTATGTCCATCCTGGGAGAGGGATTCCTCCTCTGTTAGTGTTATGATCTGTTTGTTTTTGTTTTTGTGTGTGGGGGGGATTCCAAGTCACTTGACTATATAACATTAAAACAATAAATTAAGCAATTTTGTTCATGAAATATTTCCCTCCTGGGTGTCAGATTTTTTGCTAAGCATACTGAAATTCACTAAATTAATGAATTCAACAAAAAAAGCCATTTCTAATTATGTTTTTACAATATACTTTAAAAATTAAACCAAATAGGTGGAGGAAGGAAGTTTGGACTTCACTCTTTAGAGGAAATTTAGTCCAGTTGTAGAATCAAGTAGAATCTTGAAGTTGTGTCAGCTGCACCACAATCATCCTCACATTATCTCTAAATGTTTCATTGCAGGGGAACTGTTGACAACCTGACAGCTGCCTTGATGTCCAGAGTCAGTGTTATAAAGGACAATGTAGCCTATAGATTGTACTCTGAGCTGAGGACGGGATGAATGCCCGATGTCCAGAGATCACCCTCTGTCCTTACATCAATGACAGACTGACCAGACCACCACTTGCTCAGGCTTAACAAACTCAGGTTTCACTAAACTCTCTTTCTGAAACAAGGCCCGTGTCTCTTACTCTTGGTTGAAGTTATGACATTGAAAAGGTCCATGCAAAATGATGCTTGGACCTGATATGTGTTTAATTCACAGTAATTATGCTAATGCAATTCACCTGCACTAAAGGGCTAAACTCAAAGTTGTACATTCTATTTTAAATCAAAGCCTACAGTTGGGTATAATCATATAAATATGTTGAACAAGTTTGCATAATTTCCCCTTTCCCTATCTGGCCTATGTGAAGAGTGAATTCCTCTGAGATGCAGTTATCTGCTATTAATTGCATCTCTATGGTTGAAGCTCTGTAGAGTGTGAAAGGTCTTTGCTGCCCCCATAGGAAACGAGAAGAAAGCTGCTGGTGTGGAGCTCCCCCAACAGCCCACTTTCAGTATTGCATCTGACATAACCTTACTGATTGTGATACTTTCACAAGACACTTCGTGTTGAATGGTTGAAGCAGTGACGAGGCAATACAAAAGTTCAGTGAGATTTATTGGCACCACACTGGGCAAATAATCTTTAGCAACAAGCATATCCTATAAGGTAACAGTTAGTAATCGATCTGAACAGACAGATATAAACTGGTTGCTTTCAAAACTTTTTATGACACCTAAGCATCTTTACCTATTTACATAACAGATTTTTTTCATTTTCACTGCAAGTAAGCAGTTTTAGCTTTTGTAAACCAAAACAAAATATACACGTACAAAATAACTAATAAGGCACTAATAAAAAATAAAGGGGAGAAACAAGGTTGAAAAACAATAATGTCTTAGATGACTATAAACACAAGGATCTACTATCCACAAAGCGGTCAAAAAATACAAAATATTGTTACAAACTTGACAAATGACTGTCAAAAGCTGACCGTGGAAGAAAAAACATTAAAACACACTCAAATCATCTCCAACTGTGGGTAGCACATAAAACCTTTTAGAACAAAGCTTGAAAGAATCATATTGACAGCCCTTTGCATTGATCAGATCTCACCATCTATTGGGTCTTTGAACCCACACCTCCATTTCTTCAGTCGAAGTTTAATGGTGAGCTTTTTAAAGTATAGGCCTACATTCCTGCAGTTTACAAAAATTGTCATTAACTTTCCTCTCCCTCAACAAAAAAATAACTTTACATGTCAATGAAGGCAGCTAATAGCATCTGCTGCCTGCCTCTTGTGCAAACTATACTATAGATTATTAAAGTTCTCATTCCTGCTTGATACCCACTTCACTCTCTGTGTATGACACAACTGCCTCATGGTGTGAGACAGCTGGCTTATGTTCTTGGTCTTCATTGCTCTGACCTATGGTTACCATAAAGTATTCCTCTGATGCTGCTTGGGATACTGGACTTAAATGTTTAACACGCCCAATGTCCAGTTCAGTTTTTTCAGTTTGGACATACAGCTAGCATAGGATGTTCTTCAGATCCTTGTGGTTCAGCCTGGTTGTAATACTTGACACCGTCATTTACTGGTTCTGTTTTTATGTTACTTACAGTGTTCGGACACGCGTATGGAAGAGATCCCGTAGGTTCACCTGGGGCTAAATACTCAACGTCCTCAGTGTTTGACTCTGTTTTGACATTGTCATAATATGGATGGAATTTTTCCTCAGTGTCCGGTTCTGGTTGCATATCGCCATAATGTGGATTGTACTCTTCCTCTTTAATGTGTATGTTTCCCTGGAGAGGAAAACCATAACCTACACTCACTAGACTCCCATGCATCTGCACCATCATGCCAGGATCTGTTGGGATCCTTGTGTCCTCATCACGGTACAAAGGTTCCACATTAGTTTTAACACCTTCACAAAAATCCACACGACTCACTTGTTGCACAAAACCACACTTTTTGTCTTGTTTAACCTTGGGATATTTTTTCTGTGTCTTATTTTGTCTCTTCTCAACAAACCTTTGTGAAGACTTGGGAGCAAACACAAATGGCAATTTGAAGAGCTCGTCTGCTCTGTCTCGTGTTTTACGATATTGCTTGACCATGTTTTGAACTTTGGATGCAGTCGCTATGGAAAATTCCCAGCACCTGTAATGTTGTGAGCTCAGATCGAAGTTATAGTCAAGGATGTCATAAATAGTGCGTGGCAGATAGTGTCCTACTTTCTGAGTTGCAAATTTATATATCTCCATCATTACAGCTCTGGTCAATAGGTTCAAGTCCAGTTTGTCTTTCTCTGCTGATGTTGATGTCACATCTAGATC